CGTGGACCCTAAGCACTGTGTTCATCAAATGGAAAGTAACTCTGAAATGATTGACCATTATTAATTCAAATGATGAGACTGCAGCAAGAATCCTGGATTGGCAATCATTTTATCATTTTATAATCAATTATTCTATCTCAAAAAAAATATATTGGAATGGTTTTTGAGAGTATTTTACTCATTTGTATTGGAATGTTTTTTGAGAGTATTTTACTCATTTGGAACATAGGACTCTGTTTTAAAGAAAATGGTCCTAATGCAATCTTTCCCTGCTTACCAAGAGTTATTTGATTTACAAGTAAACATACTTTACTGTTAAAGTGTGCAGATGAAACTTATTGTATTTAGTTAACCAATGTCATCCTAAAAATAAATTTAAAAAATAATAATAAAAATAAATTAAAAAAAAAAAAAGAAGTAAACATACATGGCTCAGCCCCAAGATCCTCAAATAGCGACTCAAGGAAAAGGTGGAGTTGGTGGGAAGTCCTGATTTATGCGCCATCTAGTGGGTAATCTGCAAGCCAGTGACCCTTATAAAAAGGGCAAAAAATAAATAAATAGCTGTGCCCCTGAAAATACTTATCCACGGCAATAGGACCAGAGAAATTGAGAATGCCCATTTAAATGTTTTGGAAGTTTCCTAAAATTTTAGTTCTCGAAAAATAAGTCTTAGATTTTAGTTCTGAAGATACACAGAGAAAAACAACAAAAAAGTGCTTTGTAGAGTCTAGAGACATTATGGTTATAAAGATAAGACAAGTCAGGACCAACAAAAAACTTAATAGAAGCAAACAGGAAATGAGGGAGGGATGCCCACTTTTTTCATGAAGAAAGAAAACCAGTAAGCAGGAAGCAGGCAGCCCTGTTGATTAAGTACAGGGATGCATACTTCCGTCCAGGGCCAGATGTAAACGTTTTAGGCTTCGTCATCTGTACAATCTCTGTTGAGATTGCTCATTTCTGCCGCTCTAGTGTGAAAACGGCCATAGACAATGTATAAATGAGTGGGCATGGCTGTGTTTCAATTAAACTTTATTTACAAAAACAGATAGGTAGCCGGATTTGGCCTTCAGACTGTCGTTCGCCAACCCCTAATCTAACACAAGTAAAACTAAAAGAATATTCAACTTAGGGAAACTCCAGTGAGGTCCTCTGAGGAATTCATACTATGAAAAAAGCAAATCCTGATTGGAAGTCTTCAGAAACCGAAGCAAAACAAAAGTCCAAAACCGAGAATCTCTGACTCTGCTTAAGAAATCTAGATCAAGAAACAGCACACTGGGCGAAGATGCACAGAACGTGTGTCTGAGAGAGGCCCTTTTACTGAAAATGAAACAATATCGGAGAGAACGTCAGAGCCCTTATAGAGAGAGAATGGCAGAAACAACTACCTATGAGACCACATGGAGAAAAATGTATTTGGATCTGGCTATTTAAAAATAGAATTTCTGAATATCACGAAACATTGTTAAATTAAAACAAACTTATAGGCAAACACAAACTAGAAAAGGCTGTGATCTTAAAACAATGTTTAGCTCTTACAGATGATTAAGAAGAAAATGAAAACTTCCAGTTACAAAATAAATCAGTTTTGGGGATATAATGTACAGCATGGCAACTATAGTTAATAATACTGTATTGTATATTTTAAAGTTACTAAGAGAGTAGATCTTAAAAGTTTTCATTACAAGAAAAAAAATGTGTAACTGTGTGTTGATGAATGTGAACTAGACATTGTGGAGATTGTTTTGCAATACATACACATATCAAATCTTTATGATACATGTCAATTAGACTAATTTAAAAAAAAAGAAGAAGAAAACGAACACCAGACCCATCCCCCAACACTTGTAGAGTTCAAATGAAGGCTTACTATACAACTGAATATTTAAAGTTAAAATTAACAAACAGTTGAATGAAATATGGTCTAACTCCCCACATTAAGAAATATACCTTAATAATGACCTGGAAATGACCTCTAGGAATAAGTAAGCCCTTCCTGGGCATCTTAAAGAGGGAAATTGTAAAGGAAACCCCTCAATAAGTTCTCAGTATAGGAGTCTCTTCTACTGCAATTATCCAGCCTCTACTTGCATGCCTCCAGTGACAGGGAGGTCACTCCTGGACAAAAATCCCCATGGAGCAGAAATTCTGTGCTCAAGATAGCCCTTCAGTGACCTGCAGGACAACAAAGTTGAGCTCTGATATCAGACAGACCTGGATTTGAATGTTGGTGCCTTCACTTACTAGGGGCAGTTTGACTGTGGGCAGCTGGCTTTGCCCCTCTGAGCCTCGTCTGTGAAAATGGAGATTGATCCCGTGAGCCCACAGGTAACAGTCAGTAAGATTCCCTGAACACTGTTGTGAACCCTTTGGTCTCAGATTCCTTGCAAGGAGAGACAGGATTGTTATCCTTGGCTTTGCACCACTGGGGAAGCAGGGCGCAGATGGGATAATTGTTCACATTCTTACTCTCAGGGTACCAGGATTCAAAGCCAGAGGTCTTTCTCTGGAGGCTGTGCTTTAAGGGCTGCAAGTTTGCAGGGTCCACTTTCATCTTACATATATTCACTGAGCATCTGTTTAGTGCTGGGTGCTGCTCTGGGCGCTGAGAACACAGCAGGGAACTAACTACACAGGCAGAGATCCAGCCTCGGAGGAGCGGAAAGTTCAGGGAAGTGAATCGGGCAATAAGCAACGAATGTGATAACTAAATAAGTGAGACTGTCTATTGGAACGTAAGTGCTACAGAAAAAGAAAAAGCAGAGTACTTGAAGGGTAACTCAGGGGTCTGAGGAGGGTTGCAGTTTTATATAGCATGGTCAGTAAAGGGTTGTTTAACATTCGGTTACTCTGAAATTTCTTGTTTACCCTCCCTCATTTTCAGATCTCACTTCTAGGGCTGGAGATGGGCCAAGGTGGCTTCTCCAGCCAGGGAAAGTCCCCAAATTCACACTTGAAAGAAATTAACAAATTAGTCAAGAGGAAACTTAGCGGGGAGTGGGGTCCTGGTAGAGGCAACAGCCAGTTCAAAAGCCCTGGAGCTAGACTGTGCCTGGAAGAGAAACAGCAGCAGGCAGCAGCAGAGAGGGGGGGTGGACAAAGGGAAGAAGGTGGGGGTGGAGAGGCGATGAGGGCTGTTGGTAGGGTCTTGTGGGTCACAGTGAGGACTCTGGTTTTTATGCCAAGTCTGGTGGGAGCCATGGAGGACTCCGAGCAGAGGAGAAATGTGACCTGACTCAGGTGTTCACAGGTACCCTCTGGCCGCTGTTGGAGGACAGAGTGGGGTTGACATGGGCGGAAGCCAGAAAACTAAGGAGGAGGCTGGTCCAAGTGAATGAGGATTAGGGCTGGACCGGGATGGGGGCCATGGATGTGGTGAGAGGCAGCCGATTCTGGACAGATTGTACAGGTGGAGCCCACTGAATTTCCTGACAGGTTAAGAGGTGGGTATAGGAGAAAGAGCGGAGTGTGGGAGCTGGCAGAGTTACATCAGGAGGTTGGGGTGGGACCGGTCCAGCCAGGGGTCAGAGGGGAGTCTGTTCAATTCAGGGAACGCCAGTGAGCAGACACACACCCAGCATGGTGGACTCACAGGGCAGCCAGGCTCCTGTCCACCCTCACCATGGAAGTGGCATCTGCTCTGGGCCCCTGTGCCCGCCCCAGAGAGAAGGAAGAAGAAAGAGCCCCACTCCTTGAATGGGGCTGAAATTTAACCTTGCAACAGCTGAGAAGCTGTGACTTTGAGTTTGCCTCAAGGTACCCAAATTCTTCTTTCCAATTGTGACAGGTGAGAGTACTCCGCCAAAAGGAAGTCAGGTTACAGGAGTAGAAAGTTCCTTATTTGCATACCAGGAGCCCAGGAAAATTGCCTGGCCCACTGCTTGCCTGGTGGGAGAGGTAGCAGGAGCCAGGGGGTACCTACCCTAACGCAAGCGGCATCATTCTCGCCTGTTACAAAGGTCATGCTGATGCCACCCCACTGTGAGAATAAGGGGAACACCTGGGGTTAGAGTCTGAAGTCTTTCCTTTTCCTCTTTCTTCTCACCAGGAAGTCGCCCAAAAGCAGGAGCCCCTTCCCCACCACCCCTGAGTGATTCTATATGAGTACGTGTGCATTCGTGGCCATGAAGCGCCAGGGTATGTGTGTGCATGTGTGTGCCTGATGCTTACATGTGTGTGCATTCCTTTTGCACTCCATGTGCTCACCCGCACATGAACTGGGAGTGGGCTGGGGAAGCTTCTCCAGCTAGACAAAGGCCCTGAATCCACACTCACCATGGCCCAGGAAGGTTCCTGCCCTCATCACTCTCCGCTCACCGCCTGAGAGGGGAGGGGCTGAGGACCCAGGTCCTGTTATACAAGGGGTCCCCGGAGCTGTTGTCCCAAGGCCCCCCCAACCACTAACAAGCTCCCCGGGGCTCAAACTGGCAATACCCTTGGGGATTTTTCCCTCCTGGAAACTGGAGACCCCAGGGTCCACTTTCCAGGCCCCCAGGCTCTCACGGCAAAAAGTGGGGGAAGGACTAATTACGATTTCTTTTTGTGGATGGCGGTCACAAATGCACTCCTCACTCCATCCGTGCTCCCCAGTGTCCATCGGTGCCCACCGCACACTGAGCAAAGCTGCTACCTCCAGCCCTGCCCTCAGGACAGGAGGGAAGAAGTAGATCACTTGATATTGTTACACAAACGTTGCCAGGCTGACCATCTATCTCATAGCGACCTTAGCCCGACTCCTCTCCCTGTTCTCGCCAGAACTGATGAGTCGCCAGCTCTTTGCCACTCTTCCTCAACTTCTCCATTCCCTCAGCCCTCCCCTAATGCAAGCGGCATCATTCTCGCCTGTTACAAAAGCCTGAGTGTCGCCTCCCTTTCAGTTTTTCTCCGCACCTGCTGCCAGAGCAGCTCTGGCTGCCTCCCCTCTCTACTCAGGGACTTTCCATGGCTCCCATTGCCCTCAGAGCAAAGCTTAAAATTCCCCGTCTTCATGTTCAAGCGCCTCGTGATCAGGCCTCTGCTACCGCTCTAGTTTCAAATTCATTCATTGCTCCATGCAAACCGACACATATCCATTTATTAAATTACCAGTAAGTAAGAAAGTGAGGTGTAGACCCGCCATTCCAAATCGCTGACCCTTCCTCTGAGATGTCCATGCTGTTTCACACCATTCTGCCCCTCCCCATGCTATTTTTTCCCCTCCTCTTAGCTTCCGGGCAAACTCCCACGCCTCCTGAAAGACACATCTCTAGTATTAAGACGATACACAGGAGAGAGAAGGAGGCGTCTGAAAAAATACAAAGGAAAGGGCCTGCAGAAATGACCGGCTCAGCTGGCTAAAACTGCTCTCTCCTCCCATGCTGCCCTGTGCTCTTCAGCTAACGTGTTTTCCCATAGCTCCCTCCCCCACCTCAAGGGCTCTCCAGCGCACAGCTGTTGATTCAGAGCTTGCTATCCAACTAATCTTCTTATCTCTGTAGCTGTGTAGGAATAACAAAACCGTGTAAAACTGCTTGTTTTGTTACAATTAGAGCTCAGCTTTTGGATAGGAATCCACTGAGCAGGTCCCATCTCTCTGTTCAAGAATCCTATAATGTTGCCAATAACACCAAGGTCTCAGACTCTACCAAGCAAACGACCTGTAAGACCCGTGGTCTGGAAACTGCCCCCACCCGAAGCTCCCCTTTTCCCTCCTGAGTTATGAAGCACACGTGAAACTTCAAAGGAATCCTGCACCCTTTGCACGGACACTGCTAGGGTATATAAGCTGTAAGAAATCTAACCAAGGGGAGATCGTGCTTTGGGTCTGTTGAAAGCCCCACGCTCTCTGCAGGCATTAAATTCTCTTTTCTCTAACAAAGTTGTCTGAGTGTCCGATTTCCTCTATCAGGTGTCACTTCCTGCAACACACACACCTTGTTTATTCATTTACCCATTGACTGATGACAGGTCCTTTCCATATTTTGGCTAATGTGAGTAGCATTGCAGCAAACATGGAGTCATAGCTGAGAAATTCAACCTCATGAGCTAAAATTCATAGCTGGACATTATGGAGAGCGGATTGTAAGCTAACAAGGTCCTTGCAATCTGCGAGGTCAACCAAGGGTTACCTCGCCTCTGCAAACTCCTTCTGAGAACAAGATAGTACAAAGGTCGGGAGAAAATGTACAGATAAATAAGCTGAAGTTCGTGAGAAAATGTGGCCTTGGAGAAGTAGAAGAAACAGTGTTGCTATGCTTTAGAGGAACCCCTTATGCCAGTAACGATTGTTTGTTCTTGTATAAAAGCAGCTTGCAAAAATAAAACTGCGCCATTGCTCCACCATCAGTGGACAGTGGACCTCCTGATCCCAGCTTTCTGTCTTCTTTCTTTTCTCAATCTCCCACCGACCATTCCCACTCAGGTTTATTTTCCAGGGCCACGCTGGATTTACCACTTGCTGGACAGGATTTACCACTTGCTGGACGTGGCAGGACATGAGTACAGTCTCAGATATTTGCATACCCACTCTATATGGATAACCTCTGTCATAGCTTGGGTTCTCCTAGAAGCATCCCTGGGACAAGGGTTTGAATAGAAGTAAGTTTCTTTGGGAGGTGACCATAGAAAACACAGGCAGAGGAGTGGAGAAATGAGAAAATACAGAAAAAGAAGCTAATAGAGCACATGTTATCAGGTAAGTGAGCCCCTGTGGCAGCTGGTGTTCATTCCTACTGGAAACCTCTGGGAAGCAGCGTGGAACATTTATTAGTTGTTTCCACAGAATTTCTGCTCTGCAAATCTGATTGCCTCTCAGTTTACCCCACCCCCAGTTCCAGAGCACAAACTGATTGCTTTAAGAAATAAATACATCCTGTACCCTACGACCATAGTGATCGGTTAAAGCATCAGTGTTGAAAAGCAATTTTACCCCCAGAGTACAATTGGCAATGTCTGGAGACATTTTTGGTTGTGACAGTGGAGAAGAGACATCTAGTGGTTTGGGGCCAAGGCTGCTGTTAAACATCCTACAATGCACAGGAGAGTCTCCAGTAGCAAAGGACATCAATAGTGCCAATGTTGAGAAATCCTCGGTTAGAGGATGGACACGTGACACAATCAGAGTCAATACAAAATGAACCCCAAGACTAGAAGCTTCTCAATTCCCTGGGAAGGTCAATATTGTCTATGATGTTTGCACCTATTTTGCTGACACAGAGGGAGGGCTGGAGCTGTGCAGGTGGGAAGAGAAGATGGATTGGGTACCACATAAAGCCTGAGGATGACACTGACACCCAGAGAAAAATCTGTAGAGGTGAAGAGAAATTCAGCCTTTGTAGACTTCATCTGAGCCACTAAATCAAATCTCCCCTGAAGCTGGTCCTTCTTAGTTACATGAGCTAATAATTTTTTGTTGTTAAGCCACCTGGGTAGATTTTTGTGTTGTATGCAAACGAGAGCACTCCGAGTGACAGAAGAATCAAAGAACATCATCCTATCCTCTTTTCCTGGAGGACCCCACTGTGAACACAACCTTGTCTTGGAGCACAATTGATCACAAGACATAGAAACCCACCCACGCTGGTATATGTAAAGGAATATTTATTACATGACTGCAGCATTGTCTCCAGACCCCACAGAAGCATGAAATAGAAGTTTCCTGCAGAACCAGCATCAAGCACTTAGAAGGCAATTAATAAATACCTGTGATGTCAATGGAATGATGCTCAATTAACTAAAACTGATACTTCGAGTACCCGCCACCCAAAACTGTCCATCCATATTTCTTAATCTGTTAGTGGCCTTAAAAGCTCCAACTGACAGCTTTCTGAGCATCTCCATTAAACAATGTTCTTGAGCAAGAAAATCTGATTGGCTCGTCCTAAAAGTCAGGTGACCACTCCAGATTCAATCAGTAGTGTCATCTGCTAAAAGAGGAAGAAGCATGAGTGGCCAGGCAAACTAAATGGATTTAACCCAAGAGGGGAGCTCGTTAGCCTTGGAGAGACAGAAGCCCCACCACTACAACTCCCACCTTACCCAGACACAGACAAATGACACCAAGTGTTAACTACTCCTTTATTAGGTGGTGATGGAGTGGGGGCTGTACAATACAAGGCCTAGGAATTTAGCTACACAGGGATTGTGACCAGAAGCGATATTACAAAAATAGCCTAAAAATACTTCTATTCTGCCACAGGGCTAGGCCAGGGGAATACCAGGAGAATGGGTGCCATTCAGGCAGTTCCTTCTCATCCTGCAGTCCCATGCGTACAGGGAGACAAAGTGAAATGCACATATCTCCCATGGTCCTCATGTTCCCGCCAGCCACCCCTCCCCCCGCCCAGTTCCCAAAGAGAGGTGAACCAAGCTCTAGGGTGGGGCGGGTCTGGGGTGGGCTCCCTGGGGCAAAGCCATACAACAAGTTTCATCTGGAATGCAGTGAAGTGAGGGAGGTGGGGTGGGGAGGAGGCTCCCATGTCTCGCCAACCCCTGGCCCCAGAGGGTGCGCCCAAGGGTGCCTACTTGGTACACACCAGGGTCATGTACTCGGTACACAGGATCCCGGTCATGCCTGTGTACTCGGTACACAGAATCCAGCTTGGCCGAATGGGCCCACAGACTCAGCCCCACGGGGGCACTGGGGAGTTTGCAGGGGGCAGGGAGCATCTCCATATATATATTTTGTAAAAAATAATAATAATAAGTTTGTTTAAATGAATTTGTTTCTATACAAAATGTAAAAAAAAATAATAATAATACACTCGTGTTGGAGTGTGAGGAGTGAGAGAGGCCAGAGGAGGCAAGAAAGGAAGGAGGGAAGAGAAAACTGGGGAGCAGAAAGAGGGGAGGGCAGGAGGAGGTCCCTGACTCTTCACAAGACCCAGGGAGTTGGGGTCAGCCCTCACCCCTTATAAATAAAGGAAGACTAAAGCCCTAGACTGGTGACCTATCTCAGTCACAATGCAAGGTGGGGACAATACAGAAGAGTTGGTAGAGAGAGAATTAAAAGGATTAAAGGAAAGAGGATGAAGAGAGAGAGTGTGTGTATAAGGATGGGTTATCTCTTCAGACCCCCCAAATCCAAGAACTTAGGAGCATCTCAGGCCAACACCTGCCTCTTGGGGGTGGCTTCAGGCTGGGGCCCCAGCTGGGTCTGGGCCTGAACCAAGGGGCCGGGGACAGACAGGGGGAGTGGCTGAGCAGGCAGTGTCCCAGTGGCTGTAGCTGTGGCCCCAGTGGCAGTGGCTGGGCTGGGTGTAGAGTCAGACCAGTCGGAGAGTGAGGGAGGTGAGGGGCTGGCCCAGTGCTCAGGGGACTCAGGGGATGGGGTCAGGTAGGGATGCTCGCTGGGGACCCGCAGGAAGCGGGCCTTAGGAGGGCTGCCGTGGGCCCCAGCTGCCGGGTACTCCTCGCCATGTCCTGGGACTGCCAGGTATGGAGGGGGCCGCTCCTGGGGGGACACAGGGGTCCCAGGGTTCAGGAGCTGGGGTC